CGCCCCAGCTCCCCCCAGCCCCCACTCCCCTCACCCGTTACATCCTCCCTGGCATCTGCCTGGGCACCTCCTCGCCTGCTCCTTAGAGAAAGAGCCACAGTCCCTGACGGGGTCGGAGCGCAGGGCCCTGTGCCGTGTAGACTGGGTGGTGTAGCAGCGCCCCTCCACCAGGATCCTGGAGTACTCCACGTGTGTCTCTGAGCTCCTCATCCTAGTTAATGGGGGAATGAACAGTATTGCTTTAAGCACCACTTACCCCCTCCCATCTGTTTCCATGGCTTTTCCTTCTTCCCTGTGCCCCATCCCCTCATTTCCATGTAACTAACCATCCTTTGTGTGGTGGGCTGGACACTCCCTCCAGACGCCCCTGCCTCCGACACACCAGGGAAGTCTCCACCTGTGGTCAGGTGTGCCAGGGCGGGCCCCTCTCAGTCTTCCTCCAGAAATTGAAATGATAACCCATCGGATTCTACAAAGCAGAGCTATGATAAGTGGGATCTGCCACCTGAGGGCCACTCGGCCATACGTTTTTACATACGTGTGTGTGCTCCTACCGTCTGTCCACCCTGCTCGGTCCTGTAGCTCGACTCCCCGGCCCGGGAGTAGCTCCTGCTGCAAAGCCGTGGAGCGGCAGCTGTCCGTGCAGTGACTCTGGAGTACTGATACGAACTGTCTTTCCTTCTGTAAGCTTCGGAAACAGTGTCAAGTTTTTGTGTGTTTGGACCAGCAGATGGCATAATGGCTACGTCACTGGACTCCCACGTAGTGGACCGCAGTCTGAGCCCCAGACCTGGTGGCTTGGAACACACTGGGTGTGTGTGGGTGCGTGCCCTGAGCTGGAGGACGGTGGGCTGCCATGCGGCCACCCCCGGGGATGCTTTCTGTCTCTGTTCTCTCTGGGTGTGCACGAAAGCCTGAAGTCTCGGAACCGGGAGCCTCAGGAACTGCCGTCCTAGGTGCTTCGCTCCGCTCCGGGAAGTCCCAGCCGGGCTCAGGGTGGTGCTCAGCCCAGTGGCTGCAGAAAGGACTCCAGTGAATTCTTTTTGCGTTAAAGTGGATAAGGAATAGAAACGGGTTACCAGCGTCCTCTCTCTGGCAGGTGGAAGTGACACCTGAGCCCCCTTAGGGAGTTTCCCTGGGACACCCCGGCCCCGGGAGTGGCCAGCTTTTGTCACTCTGCCCGGGCCCAGCCCTGGGTCCAAGCGTGTAGACCCTTAGTCACATCTTCTTCGTGCGTGGGCTCCTGGGGACATCAGGGAACAGTACCGAGGACACAGACCTGCTCGCGCAGGACGGGGGAACACTATGCCCTCTGCTTGGCCTCTTAGATTCAGGGCTCCTGGGCTCTAAGGTGGCATTTTTGGTGCTTGTGGAAATGTGGCTTCTGAGACGTAGCTCTGCATGGTACATCTCCCTCCAATTCTGATCGGGGACGTTGAGGTCTGTCAGAGAGGTCGTTGACCCTGACACGTGTCGTTTCAGGGTCCGCTTTCTGCTCGGGGGGCGGCATGGAGAGTTCAAATTCCTGCCCCCACCCGGCTACGCGCCTTGTTATGAAGCAGTCCTGCCGAAGGAGAAGTTGAAAGTGGAGCACAGCCGCGAGTACAAGCAAGAGAGGACCTCCATGCGGGAACTGCTGGGACCTACCGTCTCCCTGACGCAGGCTGGCTTCACCCCCGCGCCCGTGGACACCA